TTTGGGTTTTGACACTGGAGTTGCGCCGGATAAGCATCAAAAAATGTAAGATGCTAAAAACTGCTACACTACTTGTATTGGTTGGGGGTTTGGGTTTGGGGATTCTTTGGTTTTATTTAGATTTTTTTTTTCAAATTTAAAAGCCTTAAATGTACTGTAAACCTCAGATCGTTGTACAACTGGATTTGCGGTTGATTGCCAGTTTGTGTACTGTTGCTTGGACACAGCACAGTGGTTGGTAATGGAATAAAGGATGCATGGACCAGAAAAATGCATGGGCTCGTGCCGTTTTTTTCTTCATTTTCTCTTCAAAGAAAATAGTGGGTGTGAAAACAACTTTTTGTCTTAATTCAAAAAGAAACCAGCAAGGCACGGTGGCTCAGGCCTGTAATCCCAGCACTTTGGAGGTGGAGGCAAGGGGTTCAAAACCAGTCTGGGCAACTTGGCGAGACCTCATCTCTGCAATAAATAAAAAAATTAGCTGGGTGTGATGGCATGCACCTGTGGTTCCAGGTACTTGGAAGGCTGAAGTGGAAGGACTGACCTGAGCTCAGCTGGTCGAGGCTGCGGTGGCCATGAGCGTGCTACTGAATGCCAGTCAGTGTGACAGAGTGAGGCTCTGACCCAGAGGGGGGAAAAAAAACGTTTGGGGCTTACAAACTACAACACCTTTCTCAAGGGTCTGCTTTTGTTCTGTAAAAGACCCTAGATTACTTTTGGGAAAAGCCAAGATACAAGTATAGAAGTAAAAAAGCACAAATGGTCACTAAACAGAGTATGCAATGAATTCTGGCAGCGAAAACCAAACTGAGGCAGGCAATCTCATTGTAACCTGGCTGGGAGGGAGGGAGGACAGTGCCTGTTGGACTGGGCAGCCTAAATCAGGTGTGTTTTATAGAGCCTTTTCAACCCTTTTCCCACCGGACCAGAAAAGATCAACTGAGGGAAGCTGGTCTCCATCTCTTAGAATACACTCTCGTGAGCATGTATTAGGAGGAAGTGGTGGTGAAGACAGTATGAAGACGAATGAATGTGGGTGTGTGAGCACATGCTTGTGCAGGCTACTCTTATGGTGAATCAGGTGGGTGGGGCTGGCTTACCTGAAGGGGCATTGGCAAAGATCCAGTGGGGATGCCTGTCACAGAAGCTGAGGAGGCCTAGACAGAAAAACCAGAACCACTGATGCCCTGCCTTCGGGGCCAGAAAGCAGCTGGCTACAGCTGTTGAAGACCTGATTTCTGATCCTGTCTGTGTGCTGCTTGGATCTTCTGTAACCCATTTCCCCCCTTTTTTTCTCCCAAACTATTTAGCCAATTTCCTTTTGTCAGCCAGATTTCAGCAATGTTCACAGGAAATGATCAGATTGACGTAGTGGAAACGAAGGTGGCAACGCCCTTTCACGTCACTGGACTTATTTGATGTGGATAGTTCATCTCCATCTGAAGCAGTTTGTGCCTTCACAAAACTGAGGAGGGGATCTTGTTGCCTTTTGCCAGAGTTTTACATGGTGACAGCATTCCTCTGAGGATGGCATGTGTGGCAACAGTGGGACTCTCACGGAGATGACCTCAGGGTACTCCTGAGGGCCGCCTTCCTGAGCTGTGTTCCATTCAGACCTGGGGCAGAATCCTGGGTGCTGGGTTTTCACTAGGTGGGGAAGCTTCTCTCTGGGCGACTTATTCTTTCTCCCTAGTCAAGAAGGAAAAATCAAGTGACTACCTGAAATCCTTGCAGAGTATAGAGAAGGTATATTTATTATTTCTAATATATGAATGAATGCTTCACACTTGAGAAAATTCTTTATAAAAATAAGGGCCTAGTGGTCTGGAATGGTGGCACATGCCTATAATCCTTGCACTTTGGGAAGCCAAGGCAGAAAGGTAGCTTGAGCCTAGAAGTTTGAGACCAGCCTGGGCAACTTAGTGGGATCTCATCTCTACAGAAGTTCAAAAAAATGAGCTGGGCATGGTGGTACACACCTGTAATCCCAGCTACTCAGGAGGCTGGAGCAGAAGAATCGTCTGAGCTCAGGAGGTTGAGGCTGCAGTGAGCTGTGATCATGCCACTGCAATTCTGCCTGGGGGACAGAGCGAGACTCTGAGTCAAAAATAAATAAATAATATTAATAGTCTAGTAATAACATTCAGCAAGATACTGTAACTGTATTATTATTCATTCTGCTCATTATTACACTTTGTGATCTCTAAAATTAAGCAGAGTAAGTAATACAAGTTTAGATCAGTCATAATAATCACAGAAAAACCTCAAATCCTAATTTAAATTATTGCTGTGTTGGATCCTTTGACATCCGGAGAATAAAATGATTGTTATTGTCTCAAAATAGAAAAAGCATCTTCTTTTTAAAAAAATCTGTAAGCACTCTTGTTCAAGACTGAATTTGGAAAGTAAGAATCTTTAAGGCTTGAAAGGACAAATATATTGTCAAGATACTCCTTTTGGGAATATTTTTCTGACTCTTGGTGTGTGGAGGAAGAACGTAGAATCTACGGACTTCTGAACTAATCACAAGTGTATTAAGTCAGAAAAGAACAGGGCAGTGTGTATTTTCTTGATGTGAGGGACCATCTGGGGTTCAAGTTGAAAACTGAATGTCCTTTCTCTCAGTGCTCCCTTTTCTATAGATCACCTGCCGACTTCTGCCCCTTCTTCGAACTAAGACTGAAAAGTATAAACATAAAAGGAATATCTTTTCCCATCTTTTGTAGAATGAGCCTTTAGAGAGAGGTGGACCATATCTAATCTGTCTTTGTATCCAAGCTGGGTGATTTTGGCCTTGTTTCCTAATTTTTTCTGAGCCTCCAATTGTTTTTTTCTCCTTGTTGACCTCACTTAGGGCATGTAAGCGTTAAATGAGATAATGACTATAAAAATGCTGTTCGTCTTGTGCTTTATAAATTGTATTGCTGACAGCAGAACTGTCTGATCAAGATGAAGTTCTCAAGAGACTAGATCAAGGACACTTGAAGATCTGGGGGAGGGAAAGCCAAAATTATCTTCAAAAAAGTATATTAGGCCCAACCAATTATAAGGATAAATTATTTTATTTTATCTTATTTTTGAGTTGGAGTCTTACTCTATCGCCCAGATTGGAGTGCAGTGGCCGCTCCCAGCCACTGCAGCCTTGACCTGCTGGGCTCCGATGATCCTTCCACCTCAGCCTTCCAAGTAGCTGGAA